TGTGACTCAGAATCGGAGTTCACCAATGATTTGCCAACCAAGTGAGTATTGCTTTCAGCTTTCTTCCTTCCATTTCTTTTTCTCTGTACTGCAATCCACTTTTCATCACTCAGGACAACCACAACGGGAGTATGTGGAACAGCGAAGGTTTTATTGGGGTTTTCAATTTTCACTAGAGATGCATGATTACCAATGTCGGTATCAAGTGGCGCTTCACTCCTCGTTAGTTTTGACGGAGATTTCACTTTTCGATCAATCACAGTCGAGTTTTTAACACGTCCCGTAACAGCACGTACCACACTGACACATTCTTCACTACCCGCACTCGTGTTGCCAGCGCAACCACCATTAGCTTTTTCAACTACAAAGAGAGGAGAGTTGCCGAATCCTTCCACATAATGTTAAATTCCTCTGCTCTCAACAGGAGGAACTCCTGAATATGCACTCATCATGGACTTTTTATCCATACAACCACATTTGATCTTATTTATTATGCACACAATCTACACACAGACGCACCTACATTCTGACACACAAATTAATACAGTGAAAGATTATACAAATTCACTCTGACAAAGAATGACTAGCGATTGACATTGATATATTCAGACCTATTATGATTTTAATTGTACCAAAAATTTTCTGCATTGTTTCCTTTCGTACTATCCAAACTTGTGGTAATTTAATTCGGTTATTTATTGCTCTGAAGAAGTGACTCACATTAAGTGACGAAACCCTAGAAATACAATTTTTTTACTCATCGGGTTGTAACAAAAAGTATATTTATCAATAACTTTCTACTCAATTCTTAATTTACTTGGTGCTAATAAGTCTAACCTTGGTATGGATACGTTTAAGATATTTTTTGTATCCCAAGTAGATTAAAGTAACGCTAACTTCTAGAAGTTGTTTATAGACGTTACAATTTTCTTATTTTATAACTTTTAAGTAACTAGATTATATACAATAATTGAATTCATGAGTCAATTGAAGCTAGACCACCATGGGAAACCTGGAAGGAGTGTTGTGAGATAGTAACTCACTTAAGACAGTGATGGACGGTGGCGCAATTTAATGGATTGGTTGAGGCTATACATTGACACCGTTCGATGCAGGCTTAGTGGTCTATAGGTTAAGCGTCCGCTCGCAAGACTGATAGGTTGAGTCGGATCTTCCGGGACGGGATCGTGGATGCGCACTGATGAGTCGCCATCCAGTGCTTCCAGGTTTTCCATAGTGGTCTAGCTTCAATTGACTCATGAATTTAATTACTAACTTAGTACAATCTCTACGAAACCCCTCTGATTATATTATATTTATTTAAATATATTCCTTTCATCATAGGCCTTCATTTGAACTATTAACCACTAATTTGATTTTCTACCGATCTATTAACTACAGTCTCTTAAACTTACGTCAGCCTTTAGTTTAATCTTGTGAAATTCATTTTCTTATTTTATGGTTTGATGCTGTCTGGTCTGCATGTCTGTGAAACACGTACGTTTGAAATATATCACTGATACAGTGGAGTCGGATATTGTGTTTTGGATTCAACTGGCAGGGCTAGACGAGAAGTTTCTATATCGAGGACCAGTAAAGATTGATTGGTTAGGGATGGCCAAACCAAAATGTGGCATCAGTGTTTGAAGCCACTAACTTCTAGTCTTATCTATGTTGGTAGATGCAGACTACTTGGTTCGAGTCTAAGTGTCTGTCGTAACCAATGATTGGAGACTGTGTGACATGGCTCGGAATCGATTACAATGGCGTAGGTGTACACACTCTTTGTATTCCTTTAAACCATGAGATTAAAATTGCCTCTTTCTACCAACTAATTCTTTGTTCCTGTACTATGTCCTTATATGCAATCTTTTTATTATATATTAACATCATTGAATTAACTACTTCTATGAAATTGGTGTTCATCTTTTTGCACTAATGTTATGCCGTTATTTATTATAATTTATTTATTTGAACACATTAGTATTAGTACAAGAGGGCACTAAATTTATATGCGCCACACAAAACAATGAGGATTTGAAGAGAAGAGAAAATAAAAACAACAAAAGAAGTGGGGGTTAAGGAGCGTAAAACAAAAAAAGAACAGTGACGAACAGATTATTGTAAGGTAGTTCAATAATAATAATGATAATAATAATAACAATAATGGGCGAAACAAAAAGGTATAATCAGAAGAAATCTTTCAGTTAAGGAAGCAACCACTTTTCGCGAAGAAAGTAAAAGAAGGTTACAGCACGATCGCCACTGGCTTCTATTCTGAGCCATATCTGATAACGTCTCTAGCCACTGTGTTACATCATCTCTAGGACCCCAGCCAGGAAGTCGTGAAGGACCAACAGAAGCTAGCCCTTTGCAGCTCTCTTTCATACCACGACACCATGTCATATACTGACCACCTCTCCGCTTTTTCCAACCAGTCCCAGAGTCGGCAAATAATGCACGACATGGAATTCTCTGGGACGACATTCGTAGAACATGTCCAAGACACCGAAGTCGGTGTTTCAAGATGGTGACACCAATTGGATTGTTGTCTCTGTGCCCGAACACACGATGCCGAACCTCTGCATTACTAACGTGGTGTTGCCACTGGATGCCAGCAATCCTTCGGAGACAACGATGATCGAACACCGAGAGTCATCTAACATCCACAACTCGGAGAATTCGATTTTCACAAGCATAGAGCAAGACTGCTCTCACCGTCGCGTTGTAGATCCGACCTTTTACAGCCAGACTGACATCACGAAGGCGTTAAAGATGGCCCAAAGGCCAGGTTTCACAAACATAGAGAAAAACTGCTCTCACCGACGCGCTGTAGAACCGACCTTTCACAGCCAAAGATGGCCCAGATTCGCATAAGCCGCTCTGGCTTTCACTATAAGTGCATTGAACTCATCACTCATGCCACCACCAGCACTTATGCAGCTGCCTAGATACACGAACTTCTCGACTACTTCAATCTGCTCACCATCCAGAGTGAGTACAGGATTAGAATCCTGCCAGTCTTGTAGAAGTACTTTGCACTTCGAAGGTGCAAAGCACATACCAACAAGTGTAAAAAAAACATACCATACCTACGGACACTGATTGCCAACTGATTAAGTGCGGATTACATGGCTTGGGCATTCTCGCACAGCAAGACAATATCATCCGCATACTCAAGGTCGAGAAGTCTTTCTCCAGGCAACAGATCCACACTACCATTACTTACATCCATCAGAGCTGTTCCCAGAATGTCATCGATAGCAAAGTTGAAGAGGAACAGTGAGATTGGGCAACCATGCCTAACTCCACTGCTCGAATGGAATAGTGGAGAAAGGTGATTGTATGCCCTCACTCTGCCTGAGGTGTTTGTGTATAGGGCTTTTAGGATGTTAATAAACTTCTCAGGCACACCCTTCTTCAATAGACAATCCCAGAGAACAGTTCTGTCCAACGAATCGAAGGCAGTCCTGATGTCAAGAAACACTACGATTGTTGGCCTCTGATAAGTATGGCGGTGTTCCAACATTTGGCGGAGGGTGAAGATATGACCAATACATCCTCGACCGAAACGAAACCCAGCCTGCTCCTCGCGAGTCAATCCTTCTCGGGTTCTGAACAACCTACAAAGTAAAACGGAAGCCAATAGCTTGGACGCAATCGAAAATAGACTTATCTCCCGATAGTTGTTACAGTAACGAGGTGAACCCTTTTTAAAGATAGGGACAACTATCGACTCATTCCATGACGTTGGTACACTCTCTAGTTAGCAGAACTTTGCAAACAACATCGTCAGTCCCTTAGTCAAAAAGTCACCACCATCTTTAAAAAGAGCCGGAGGTAAGTCGTCTGGGCCCGGTGATTTGTAGCGCTTCAAGAGTTGAAGTTCCTTGCGGACATCCGCCTCATTTGGTGGATCAGTCGTCACCGGCCATGGAGGGCAGGACAGTCTGACCGATGTTGCCGGAGCAGCAGGCCAGTTGAACTGCCCTTCAGAGAATTCTGTCCATCGTCCAAGACGTCGATGGATGTTAGTGATTGGCGTTCCGTCATCCTCGCAGATTGTTTCGCTCACACCAGACTTCTTGCTGCCAGTGGCTCGAATGAGTTGGAAGAGCTTCCGGTAGTTACCAGATGCAACTGCTGCTTCCAGCTCATCAGCACTCTCCGACCGACTACCAGGCTTCTCGGTCCTCACGCAAGCTTTGCCCGATTTCATTACGTAACATCCTTCGTCTGTGGTCAAACACACGGTCACCCGGAATAGACCGACGGGCTTCAATGAATTGTAAGGAACCAGAAGAAACCCCGTGCTTATAAGCGGGACGTTTCGCGAACCCACAACTGACTTCACCCGCCAATTTGATGGCGTCATGCAATTGCAACCAATGATCATCTATACTTTTCGGTGGGATGGCAGCTAGCCTAGAAGCTAGTTCGGTTCGGTACATACTAGCAACAGAAGTTGCAGCCAGCTTGCTAACATCAATCTTGTGGTGGCGGTCACTTCGTTGTCCACTGAAAAGTAAGGTAAGATTGGCGCAGACCAGGGCATTATAAGATTCCAGATAGGTACTCCAAATGGAGCGGCAGTCTTGTACACAACCACGCCAACGGTAGCTGATCGCGATGTGATCAATCTGAGTCCAGGCTTGAGATGCAGAAGGAGGACGCCAGGTGGCACATCGGCGATGACTGTGCCGACAGTTAGTGCTAGCCATAAACAGGTTGTGGTCTGTACACAGCTGCAGTAGACGGTCCCCGTTATCTGTCCTGCGACCGACAAGTGGTGACTCGGACCGAGGCATATACGTGCCTGGTCCTACGTTGTAGCTGACTTACTGATTGAGAGTATTAGGAAATATCACTACTAGATCCAATATAGAATATTCACATACATTTTATATTGCATTATTATTGTTGAACAATAAATATAATAAGAAACTTTACAATTATCTACAATGAAGTTGTACAAGTTATCAATTCTCAATGCGGAATTATTAGGTCTTTCCCTGAAAAGTACAAAACATTGATTTATAATTGTTTTAAACAATTTTAAAGTTGAAAGTTCAATTTAAAATACCATATTTTGTAAATTCAGCGAGAGAATCATTTATGGTTGAACCAATCAGATATAAGAGGTCTTTGATTCTGTGCGTGAAATCTATTCATCCATCTGGGTAAATAGAGTTTTGGTAGTATAGTTGATGTCAGTTAGTGATAAAAACCTCTAAATCTAATTCGTAATCTTAACTATCAACTGTAAATTATAATTTCAATTCATTATACAGGTTTATAAATCTCATTTGTCCAAGTTATTAGATGGACACTCAAGGTCACTTTAGCGTCCCTCAAATGTCATCCATAGATCATAGTCTTACCAACAAATGAAACACAACCATCATATCATAGTGTATTTAGAAAATTTACCATTTTTAAACCGAATTATAAATCAGAATATTGTGAGATTAATAGCAACAGCAATTTGGATGACTCGGTCTTCCAAATTGTGCGAACATTCCTGATGTATGGGCGAGAATGATTGGTTGTTTGCTTAGTCATACATGTAGATAGTTTGATAGGTGTCAGATGAGTTATGTATCCCGCCTATCCCTATTATTATGACACACTTATTATTGATTGTTCAGTGTCGTTGGATTGTGTCGGGTTTTTGGTGTGGAAATATATTTACGTTGTAGTCAGGCTAATTACGGGTTCTTGATCTGAGTTGTGTTGAAGTCCTGTAGGATATAAGATACTGGGAGAGGAATCTAGTGTAGATAATCGTTTAACGTAAATCAACGTCCCATACGTGTAAAAGTAGAAACCCAACCGTTATAACATTAGATGAAGTAAAACCGAGCGTTATAACAGTAACTAAATTAATGGTTGCTCTGGTTGTAAGTGTATATCTTGCTAGAATAATCATAGACCTGGCCTATTTACGGATTATTAACTTGTTCATTAGTATCTATCTATCTATGTTTGTTTGTTTTTTCATATTTTCCATCGATACCCAACCATTATAATTTGTTTTTAACTACTTTACATGCTGCCAAATTGTAATCTTACGTCATACTATGGTGTGACAAAGTAATTTAGCCTATAATACTAAGAAATAGTAATAAATATATCTTAGGTTAATAATGAACTCCTCCTGGAGTCCCTCCGGGGGCTACTGCTGAGTACTTTCGGAAGTTACGAGGCCGATGCCCCCCTTGACAACCAGAGCAACCACTTATTTAGGTACATGGTATGTTCGTACAATGTGGGGGACTGGGAGAGTCTTCCAAACTGCTGCAGGTTATTATTGATGCTATAATGATGTATTTGTAATAAAGCAATTAATTAACAATTGTGATCTAATCTTGATGAATTGAGACTCAAATGTTTTTGATGCATTTTTCTTTAAGGTACTCGCAGTGATTTACAGTAAAATGTATTATTACGTATTCAACTATAATATAGGAGAATAACATAAGTGATTTATTTTTAGTTGAGATCATGAATAGATTGATGTTAGACTACCATTGAAAACCTGGAATCATCGGATTGCCGTTTCGTCCTAGTATAAGACTCTTCGGCAGCGCCCTTTTACAATCCCAATCGCGGGATTCAAACCTAGGACATATTGGTCTCGCGCGCGAACGCTTAATCTCTAGACCATTGAATTAGCGTTCACGGAATTGTGTGATTATATCACATTTTACTGAGGTAGATACTTGTCTGTACCTGACATAGAATAGCTCCACTGGTCACGGTTTCTCAGTAGAATTCCGAGAAATACCTCCCGAAACTAGTCACTAGTGAGCACATGGTAATTATCAGTATAGAGTTGTGAAGATTATTAAGTTTTTTTTTTTTGAGATCATGAACCGATTGATGTTGTCATTTTCTATACTTTCTACAAATAAATAATAAACGTACCTTGCAAAACCTGTTAATATTAGGACATAAGATTTCCCCAGTAAGTCTCGATGTTCCATCGGTTACATTAAAATGTACTAGCTGATCTTTCCTGGTACAATTTACAGTTGAATTTTTAAAGTATAAACCAAGCGTTCCATCTTTATAACACGTGTACTAAATAAAAAAGAAATATGATTTTATGAAATAATTCAGGAATAAATTGATATGAAGATACAGTGTAACAGGTTAGATTAAAGATACTTTAAGCATTCTGAACAAAAGTTGTGGATTTAAAATATGAAGACATAGCTGATATATCCCAAATGAGAATAATGAATGGTAACTGTTGAGATCTATTGATAGACTAATAGTATACATATATTCTCATTATATTCATATCCCTCTTATTATAACCTTTATTTTGACATATAGATCATTAGTATACTGTTTACCGTTCTTAAGTTATGTCCAATCTATTAATTACAGTCTCCCACATTCACAGCCACTTTAGGCTACAACTTGTACAAATGTTATTTTCTACTTTATAGTACGATGTGGTCTGTTTGGTTTGTATACGAACCCAGTATGTCTAAAATATATGATTCACATCGCAGAGGTTGAGATTAGTGTTCTGGACTCAACAGACAGTGTTAGGCAGGAAGAAAGACCGATAAACACTGTAGACTGCTCGTATGGGTTCATGCGACCGGTTTTTAAGTCAAGAAGCAACAAGTCATAACAATAGCATACTCTTTTCAAACACAAATCTAGAAACTTTTAATATATCTAATTTCTAGACATTACAACATAAATTTAAAGACAATATTCAAGGTACATATCGTTTGAAGAAAAATTATGCAGATAAGAAAGAAGTAATCTCTGAATTTTCTGAAGTAAAATAGGATTCAATCTCGAAAGAACACACATATTCCAGATAAGTTTAATGACTATCAAGCTGTGTTACAAATTAATCTCGTGTGAAGTGTCATTAGTGGTTCATACTGTAAAGATCAAATTCAAGACAAAGTTGTTCTGTTTCACAGGATTTTCTATTTATTTTCAGTAATGCAAACTATCTAACTTGAACTGATATTACTCAAATGTCATAGAACATTTACATCATCTTGAAAGTTTAGTCTTGTCTTTAAAAAAATGAGGAGATAACAAAAATATAAAAAAGAACAAAACTGTACCTTATGACAACTTCCTTTCAAGAATGTTTCTAAAGTGTATGTATGTTTTTCGGTGTAAGTCCAAACACTTCGATGTTCAACACAAATCCCTTCTGGTCCATATGTTTGATAGTATCGGTTAACGCCTTTACCTAATATGGAAAATGAGTTTTAAATAACTGATTAATTATTTCTTATCCATTCAAAACGACTAGCTAAGTATACACATAGATCAACATTGTAAATATCTGATTAGGTAAGATGTCTGACAATATTTGGAAACATAAATTCACTTGGCATTGTTTACTTGAATCTTCCCCGTTGATGTTTAGCACTACAATTGACCAGTCTATATCGAGGCGATACGCACAGGATGGACATATGACAACAATAGACTGATCAATTACAGTCTTAAACATCAATCAGAAGATTCAAACATTCAATAAAAGATGAATTAATCTTCAATCCATTGCACAAGCTGATGGCTATCTCGAATCAGTAGCTAAGTAGATAACGCGATGGCGTTTGAAGTGAACGGTACTGGCTTCGAGTCCCAGAGTGAACATCAACTCTGAGATACAAGTACATCCAACTGAAGAGTTCTGAATAGGACTCCACTGTTAGCCACTATTCATCTTCACTTATAATATTTGGAAACATCTGTTTCTCATGATTATTTAACTCTCGTATATTTTCTACATTTTACAAAACAGTTTTCGAATTCTAATATAGTAAATACACCTGGAGTTCACTTTGCATCCATGATGTAATAGTATCTTCGCTATTGAAAATACCATACAGTTTCAAATTGTAAGTATAATACAACAAGTAAGTGTAATTTTCCATTCTAAAACCGATCCAACTTGATTATTTAATCTATAAAAAGTACAATAAACAAACAAACATTAGAGAATTGCCTTAACCAATCCCCTCATATAAAATATTTGATAGATTAACTGTATTTTTGAATGAAGCCCAATACGCTGATTTAACTAATCTACTCAAAACTCTTCCCTACATATGTTCTGTGAATAGGTGATTCGATATTTGATCATCATATAAGAATTAATTCATTTGTATTCACAGAATACTTGATTTGTAATTGAGTAATTCAATGATAGGTTAACGAAGAAGTGAAATAGATAGTGGCTAGCAGTGAAATCCGAGAGTCGTCAGCTGGATGTACCTGTATCTCAGAGTTGATGTTCACTCTGGGACTCGATATCGACATCGTGACAGTCCGCAAAGGACATATATATGCTAACAAGCGACTGATTATTTGCAGTCCTAAATAACAATGAGAAGATACAAGTAAACAGCACCAAGTGAAAGAAGTGAAATAATAAAATCTCAACTAAATGATATAAAATATTTAACTTGATAACCTATTGATGTGAGATTATAATCTATGAACGATCATTAAGCAATGCTAAAGTGACCTTCAGAATATTCATCTACTTACTAGAGCTAAATGAGGGTTATAAACCTGCGGGAAGAATAAACATTAGAATGTTTATTTGATCGTCAGAGTTAGGAATTAGATTTAAAGTATTTCACCATCAACTGACATAAGCTAAGATGCCAGAACTCTATTTAATCAAATGGATGAATAAATTTCGCACCAAAATCCAAGATCCGTTGTACTAGATCTGATTAACCCGTTCACAATTTGTAGTCTCGTCCTTATGAATGAAAGTATGTACAGGCTTGGTATCCTCTATATATGACTCCAATAAATAATAATAATATCCCGTTAAATGAGTATTTAATACAGGCTAAATCTTCTAGTAGAATTATCAATTTACTCCAGATGATTATTCAAAAGCTTGAACAACACCAATTATAGAGATAGTTAATTGTTAAAGATTAATAAAATCCGCAAAGCTTCCAGGAAGCAAGCACACAGTGAAACCAAGAGTGTATGTATGTGTGTGTGAGTGTTAAAAATCGATTATGGATAAATTATTGATTATCAGTGTATTAAAACCAATGGGAGAATAGATTAAAAATTGACATGTGCAGAAATGTGCTCAATCTGACTCACACAGCAATTTACATAATGGATTAAGTGTTTAAATTACCAGTGAGCAGATAAATAATACAATAGTTGAATGGGCTTACTACATAAGCTTCTATCCAGAACATTGATATTTTTATATACAAAAAAAACTATTTTTTATTAACATCTATGTTCGACAAAGAGATAAAAAACGAAATTGTTTTATCAGTTTAAGGGTTGTGGAGATTGTTAAATTTTTGATTGAGATCAGAAACTGATTGATTTTAGACCACCATTGAAAACTTGAAAGCACTGGACGGCCGTTTCGTGGAACTCTTCAGCAGTGCGCAACAACAATTCCACTCGCGGGATTCGAACCCTGGGCCTTCAGTCTTGAGCTGTCCAGTGCTTCCAGGTTTTCAATAGTGGTGTCTAACATCAATCAGTTCATGATCTCAATCAAGAAATTGTTTTAAAAATAAATGTATAACTCGATATGAGAGTAAGAGTTAAGCTTGAGTGTAGAAACGTTTTAAAGCATGTATGTATAAATGTATATTGAACATCAACGAATTGCATAAAGTTAAACTGTAAATATAATGAGGATCCGTGGGGCCAATAAAACAATAGTAATGAAAATAAAGAAGGACTTTTGTGTTACAAGAGCAACCTCAGGACTTGGACTAGATAAATATGGTGGTTGCTATGCTCCTATCTGACTAGTGTACTCTTCTTCCTGATCTTGTTGTAGTTTCTGTTGCTGGCGGGCGTATTTCGGAGTGAAGTATTGTTTGTTGCAGGTAGTCTACATGGTGCTTCCTCCGCTGCGGGTTTAGACGGTTTTATTATTGTCTGTTTTTCTGTGTACTCTAAAAACGCTGGTTTTATTCTGTTGATTCTAACAGTATCATGTTTACCTGCTCTTTCCACTGTAACCATTTTACTGTCCTTTCGGATGATTTTAAGAGGGCCATCGTAAGGAATCTGTAACGGCTGTCGTACTCTATCATTTCTGACAAATACATATGAGCATTTGTTTAGTTCATTGAGTACTAATGACCTTGCCTTTTGGGTTCGTGGTTCGACAGACCTGATGGATTCCATCTGCTGTTTTAATCGTTGCACGTAGTTGGTGATATCATCTGGAATATCTGTTGCACAATCAAAAAGTTCACGAGGCAAACGTAACGTTGTCCCATAAACCAACTCAGCAGCACAACAATCGGTTTATTGCTTGATAGTTGAGCGAATGCCTAATAGTATCAAAGAAACTTAACATCCCTTTTGTAATCTCCCCCTGCGACCGCCAAAGAGGCTTTTAACTGTCTTTCGAACCTTTCTATCATTCCATTAGCAATCGGATGATAAGCAGTGGTTCTAATCCCCTTTATACCGAAAGTATCTGTAAGCTAATGAAATAGCTTGCTTTCCACGGTCAGTCGTAATTGTTGCAGGGACACCGAAGTTTGTAATCCAGTGTTTCACTAATTTCTTCGCCACTGTTGATGCCGACATGTCTTTTAACGGGACGTCAATAGGCCATCTCATGAATCTATCTATGCATGCTAATATATGAGTTTAACCATTAAAAATTGGTAACGGTCCAACAATGTCGATATGAATGAGGTCGAACCTAAAGCTAGCGGCTGGAAAAATTCCTGTAGGAGATATGATGTGCCTATGTACTTTTCACTTGTGGCATTGGATGCATTCCCGTGACCATTTTCGTACACCATTGTTTATGTTTAGCCATAAAAACCGATTTGTGATAAGTTTTACAATGGCGTTTATACCTGGATGAGATATGATGTGTAATTTCTCAAAAATGTTTCGTCCCATGTTACAAAGTACAAAGGGGCGAATTTTACCTGTTGAGATATCATAGGTTAAGGTGTTGAAGATGCCACAGGTATTTGGGGTTTGACAACGCTCTAACCAATAACACCTAATATGAATCGTACCCACCAAATGAAATCAAAAGACAGAAGCGAGGAGGTTCAAAGATATATCTGATAGGCTATCAATATATCCAGGATCGTTTGATCTAATCTGACTAGCGATTGCAGGAGATGTTGAGCACGGCGTTCCCACTCGTGATCTGGTGCGGATGCATAACCGAGCGCCTTCAGCTAGGTGAGTCTATTAAAACTAATGTGGTCAGCATCCAATGTCGAAGAGTTACAGAGCTATTGATTTTGGGGATTTATTTACCACTACAGTATCCTTGTTGTTTATGGGTATGTTTTAGAATAATAGTTTCGTTTCCTTAGACTGCAAAAGATTTTCTAGTTCCCTATCGAGCTTTTGATGATGGGCTTACTACAAGTATACTATTAAGCTAAATGTATGCTATACTACACAGAATAAAAATTAAGTGCTTACTTGATAATTTCTCATTCTCCTCATGTGTACAGAATGATGTAGCTGAATATTCGCATCCCAAACCTTTAACATACTACAAATGTAGGAGAATAAGGTTAGTTCAAAAGAATACACCATTATTATGAAAAGATATTTTCTTACGAAATTGGCAAGACGACCTTTGAACGAACCTTAAGTGACCTTGAGAAATATTAGCCAACCAGACAACATTTAGTACAGAGTAAATATATATACAAAACAAAAGAATTAAAGTGGTTACATTTCTTTTACATGGTTCAAAGACTTGTCAATGTTAGGAAGGGGTTCAGAGGTTCTAAAGTTGTAACGAATACAGTAGAGGAAATCATCCATATGGTTTCATAATAGTCGGTCTCTGGAGCCATGATAAATACGCAAAACCTCTTTCAGTCTCGATCACATCGCTTCAGTATTGTTTGTGTGCACTCCGGTTGTTGGGTCCACAAAATATCACTTGTGGACAACGACACGATGTACATAAACAAGTTTATGTAGGCATCTATACGCTCTCTCCGGTAGCAGCCAGTGTTACTGGTGCTTATATTACCCAGTTCGCAACAACCGTCATAATTTTCCTTAGTCTCAATCTGCATCGAGTGAAAAAAATTCTATTTTAGCAGACGGTGGTCTGAACAAGGTCCACAAGTCATTTGATTACCACAATCACAAATAAACGAACTTCTTAGTAGTCCCATTTATTGTAGTCGCTCAATTACCACGTTTTCTCTAGAAATCCACTGTGAACTGATCGTACGTGAACATCAGGTACTGTAATTGGCATCGTGAACTCGAAATCCCTGAAACGCTTCTGATTGCCTCGTCCATAAACTATAGTCTCGCCAAATCATTTTAAGTAGTACTGAACAAATGAAACTATTTTAAATGTTACTTATTCAAAACATCCAATTGTAATTTTCTATGTTAAAACAGTATGATTACCCATATATTAACCAATACATGTTTCATTATATGCTTCATTAAAAGTACTTGTTATTTATATACATATATTTATAAAGAGGCTTTGTTTCGTTAATCGGTCACCCTTGTAAACGTTATTATAAAAATGTCAACGGTGTTTCAAATCAGAAGCCAATGAGAAACAGCAACTACAGTTTATCAGGGGATAGTGCAGATCACAAAGTTATAACCACACCAAGCAATTATGAAACAGAGAGGCGTATATGTGTATGCGAGCAATAACACAGGCAAATTTATAGTCAAATTGCATAACGGCATGGCAAGACAATGCAAAAGCTAATAATAGGATTCGAGTACATACGTACATGGGGAGGAGGATGAATCATCGAGTGATATTTAAGCAATCAACATTTTAGCTAAAGTCTGTCATGTGTTCTAGTGATCATAACTATACAAAGAAATATGAGAATTGTTACTGTTCAAATAACATTGTCTGTTAAGTAAATTAATAAAAGGGTTTAATCGAAGTAAACCATAATGGAAATTTGTTGGCGTTTGAAGTGAACAATATTGGGTGAACATCAAATCTGAGGTGCAGGTATATCTTGCTGACAAGTCCCAAATAGGACGAAACGTGTGTCCTGGATTCCACTGCCAGCCACTAACCAACTTTGCTTATAATGCTTGTTGTAGGATAGTTGCTATATTTATATCATTTCAAGTTATATCACAGTACTAGTGAACATATCTTTTTATCTAAATATGGTTCATTATAAAATCTAAATATTTTCAATCATTGTATTCATGACGCAATTGAAGCTAGACCACTGTTGAAAACCTGATAGGACTGGATGGCAGTTTTGTCCTTGTATGGGACGGTTAATTCATAATCTCACACATTAATTCATGTTTTCTTCACAGAGTCATACATGAAAATCGGTACAGGTGAATATATTTTAAATTATCATTAGTTAATTTCTGATTATGGTCAGGAATGAAAAAGGATTATGGAAGTTGACCGAGAACCCTAGGTCGTAATACTAAATGTTATGAGGTGAATTATTCGCAAGAATGTAGAACAATAAACTTACTGCCATTGTTGGACAATAGTCGCTAAACGGATCTTCTCCACCGAAATATTCAGGACCATATTGAGTATCAAATGGGGCTTTTAGGAAGAACCGATCTTTTATAGGAACTGGAATTTCATATCTAAAAATACTACATACTCCATATGAGAATGCATCTCGGCATCTTGCCTCATTAACAGTGTCACAGAATGGGGTAAATTTCCTGCCGCTTAACGAAAAAAAATCATTTTGAAAGTCAATTAATAATTTGATCTTTTGGCATGGATATTTACTTACTACACCATCATCAGACAAAGTATTATGTTCGAAATTAAATATCAACACTACACAGTTCGACATTTATGATTACGAGTTCACCTAGTTTGAGAACGGAACAAAGACTCTATGACCAAAGACCAATAAGTTAGCTATTCTGATGCGCCACAGCCCCGTTAACTAAAAAAAGAAGTTCAAGTTCGAAACAGGGAAATATACTCCACAGGCAGCCACATGAACAAGTAACAATAACAGTCAAAAATCAAACGTATATATACAACAATAAATTGTCATTGGTAAGTGTTACAAATAGCATACTAAAGGATGCAACGAAGCAATAGCGTTTAAGATCCTCGGAAGTGGAAAATATGGCATGAAAGTAAAAACCATCGCTTTTGGAGCGAAAACAAGAAATTCAAAATTTTAAAATAAAATTACAAAAATAAGGTATTTACCAAGTGAGTTCTGGGGACATAACATCCCCAACACATCAAGTAATTCATTATTGCAGTTCTAATTCTACTTGACGGTATATTGAAAGGTAAGAATTTTTGATAAATTGATAGACATCTAATATGCTCAAAATTTATATTAAAGAATCTTTCTGAACTAACGAATTACCAATTGCCCCCAAATGCCCTGGTATGGCCGAGAAAGGGGAGAGTTCGCTCTCCCTCTCGAAATGCTCTCACATGGCCACGCGTATATAGCCTCTGTCAGGGAAGTCCTACTCACTGCATTCTCGCAACACAGGTATTGTTTATGAAAATGAGAGGACGAAAAGCGAATGTCAGGCGCTTTAACCGGATCCCAAACCAATGGTGCACATGGGTTCCAGTATCCTGAAGGAACAAATGGCGTATGAACCAATCGTCGGTCACCGGCTACCATGGGACTGCATCTCCTTACGATGCTCCACTGCCTTGTGGATCAGACGTTCAGGTCAAAGGCTCGGGGTGTGGCCCCCTAAGAAAACCATCTGCTTCGGTTTGGGCACCCGTGCAGTATCACAGCCCTCACACATATCAAATGAGATTTGTGTGGCGCATATGTATTTGGTGCCCTCTTGTACCAATATCTGTGTGTTAAAATAAAAATAATAAATACAACACATCAAGTAGTTCATCATTGCATTTCTGTTTCTACTTGACGGTTTATTGGAAAGTAAGAATTTTTGATAAATTGATAGACATCTAATATACTCAAAAATTTATATAAAAGAATCTATCTGAACTAACGAATTACCAATTGCGATCACATTATGTAACTCTGAGTTACATGATTTTAGAATTATCACATGGTAAAGCAATGGCCGCATCCCTAAAATTCAAGAACATATGTAACTCAAAACAACTGTCTGTCAACCACTATCAAACTCACAATCTTCAATACGAACGTCAAGACAGTTCTATTGTACGGATGTGAAACTTGCAGAACTACTACAACCATAATCAAAAAGGTTCGAGCATTTGTAAATACTAGACATCCGTTGGCCGGATACCATCGGTAACAACCTACTGTAGGAGAGGACTAACTATCTTCCAGCTAAACAAGAAATTTGGAAATGGATAAGAAATACATAACAGAAACCATCAAACTGCATCGCGAGTGAAGCCCTCCCTTGGAATCGTGAAGGGTAGTGGAAAAGTGGAAAGCCAAAGAACACATTACGTCGGGAGATACAGGAGTATTTGAAAATAATGAATAACAACTGGAATGAAGTGGAAAGGATTGTTTGGTACAGGTTTGGATCGAGAGTGCTGGTGGTTGGCCTAAGCTCCTCCACGAGGAGTAACAGGCGTAAGTAAATAACATATATTTTGTCAATTGGACATATGGATTTATTGAACAATGAATAAAATTATGAATTCATAACTGAAATAACAATTAACTCACTATTGTCGCTGTATTTCAGCATAGTCGAAGCAACTTTTCATGCAAAAGTCACATCCTAATTTTCTACCATATTCCCATCTCATTGCTTTTGACTTATTGACAGTGTACCAACTTGAAAATTACATAAAACGATTTATAAATCCAAATTTCACATCATCAACGAATGAATAATAATAACGAAAGTTAGTACAACATACATCAAAAGGTGATATAGTTAATACAAACTACTAAGTATAGATAATAGTTAATTTATAGTTTACTCTTTGAATGGAAAGTCCTGGTGGGTGGCCTATGCTCCGCGACGAGTAACAGGCGTAAGTAAATGAGTGAGTAAGTATAATTTGTTTTATCTGAAAAGAAGTGATTTCCAAGTAACTTCAAAATGAGTGTTTTAGACAAGTGTGATAAAAAAGAAAAGTTCCATCATGTCTCTGAGCCAATGTTAGAGTTTTTGACAGTGTTCTGTCCCGACGAGAATAAGGAATGGTAACTGTTGGAACATATTTATGGACTAATCCTATACGTGCCGGGATGAACCTCGGTGGTCCGGGGTGCAGGCTTCAAACCTGTAGCGTCGGAGCGGTTCGATTCCGCCTTCCTGGCGTATTGTCGACTCTCTGTCCATTGTGGTCACTAGGGTCGGTGACTAAGTATAATGGAATCAAGGGGTTCGTAGTAATAATAATAATTATCCTATACGTATATTTTTATTGTACAATCGTTAAGTAACTAAACTACTCATATTCGTGTTCCTCATATTGTAAGCTTTATTTTACCTATAAACTATTATTATATGATTTACTATTCATAAGTTATTCCCAGTTTATTAATTACAGTGTCCCACATTCACAGCCACTTTTAGCTACATCTTGCACAAATTTTATTTTCGATTTTATGGTACGATGTGGTCTGTTTGGTTTGTATATAAACCAGTATGTTTGAAATTCATTATTCATATCGCGGAAGCTGAGATTTGCATTCTAGAATTAGTAGGCAAGGCTAAGCAGGGAGAACGACCGATAAAGACTGTAGAATGTCCGTAAGGATTTTATGCGTCATTGGTTTGCTCAATAATGCACTGTTCTCTAATTGATGGTATCACTGAGTCACATATTAATAGGGGCACAAGTCCACAAGTTATAACAGATAGAATTAGGTTCATAGACTGTGCAATTCACTCAGTTTCTCAAAAAATATGTGTAGTATGGTAACAGTTACAATGAAGATGAACCATCCGTAACACTAATCTCACTGAATATATATATATATATATATATATATATATATATATATATATATATATATCGACTACACACAGTTTTGCATACAAGTTACTTAGACTCGAGAAAGGAGTTAATCCAATTGTTTAAGTTTTTGATATTTCAAAGTCTTGGATGAGGGATTAAAAACATTTTATATCTTAATTGATGAGCGTTGACAACTACATATTTTCAATAGTGTTTAATTAGATCCTTTTGAACTGCCTTTAATAAGATCCTTCCAAAAAACTTGAAAACATAGGCTTGTTAAGGCAATTTCATGATGGTCTAGCTTCAATTGACTCATGATCTCAACTATTGAACTTGCTACAACTCCACAAAACCCCTTCTGATACTAATCAACAAATGCTCACTAGTGACTGGCTTCAAGAGGTATATCCTGAAGTTCTAGTGAGAAGCAGTGACCAGTGGAGTTCAACCAGGTCTGTTGTGAGAGAGTAACTCAGTGGTGACAATGGTGGATGTGTCACTGAATTTCGTGGATCAGTTGAAGTTAGACATTAACACCACTGGATGCCGGCTCAGTGATCTAGTTGGTTAAGCGCCTGGCGCGAGACCGACAGATCTGGGTTCGAATCCCGCGAGGCGAGGTCGTGGATGCGCTTTGCTGGGGAGTTTCACAATAGGACGAAACGGCCGTCCAGTGCTCCCAGGTCTCCCATGGTGGTCTAGCCTTAATTGACTCATGATCTCAACTATTGAAATTAAAACTATGTCTTTTGTTGGTCCACATTTCGAAATCATTAACGAAAATAAATCTATTTTCAAACATTCTGCATGATAATGAAAGTTATTTTTTCAAATCCATCGTTGTAATAAAAAAACAGGCAATTACTTTATCTAGCTTTGCTTACCCCGAATCTTCAAAGAAGCCAAGAGTGACAAGCGATACAGAAGAATCAACTGATACTCTTGAAGCCATTACTTCGCCCTGAAATTCAAGATGACAATACACTACATAACAATGAAGGAAGTAACATTTATGGTTATGCAAGAATATGGTTTTTCATGCTATATTATTCTCAATAATATTTACGTTCTAACCTTTATTAAACTATCATCAACAAAGGGTATTTCTTTATGAAATAGATATCCAAGCCTTAATTTAGGTATATACCGTACTACTAACAATAAATGGGAAATCTCTGCTTACTGTACTGAAATGTGTTACCTTGTTCACATGAGTAATTAAGGATGATGTCAGCTGGAAAGAACATCAACTCTGCGATTCGGATACATCCAGCTGACGAGTCCCAAATAAGACAAAACGTTCTTCCTGGATTTTACTGAGAACCACCATCCATCTCTTCTTTTAGCGACTACGTTACGAATAACTGTCACTCTTGACAAAAGTCTAATATCACGCTAATTGTTTCACAAGTTGACTTTATTCACTAGTACTCTTCATTGATTAGTACCCTTAACTCAATGCAATTATGTCAGCTTGGTAAACTATAAATCATTTCAGAAATAGCAAAATACATTCTTTTCACAGTCCACTTTAGACAAATGTTTAAACAATTTTTCTTTATCATACAATTTAAGAATGCACAGAACTCATATTAACACTTGAGTAAGCTCACTGAATATGCTCTTCCCTCCCAATGCGATTCTATCGGTCCAGTTTGGTATCGATTTTCCAAATCTGCTCCATCTAACTGGCTACAATTGAAATGTGTTCTAGCAGCGGTCTAAATATTGTAAATATATAAATTTCGATTCTTCTTAGTTAAAGGAAGAAAAACCCAGAATAATATTTTGATTTAGATCATGTATCGATTGATTTTGAACTTCCATTGAAAACCTGAAGGCACAGGATGGACGTATCGTCCTATTGTGAGACTCAGCAATGTGCATCCACGATCACACTCTTGGGGTCGAACCTAGAAACTTCGATCTCATGAGCGAACAGTTAACCTTTAAACCACTAATCTCAATGAAAAAAACTTAATAATCTCCATAACTCCATAAATAATGAAATACAACAAAGTCAGTGTTTGGCTTCATATACTAAAAGTTTATAACGGACATAACAATAAATTCTTTACTCTAAAAGACTTAAACACTTTTACTAATAATCTGTGAAGTTGAAAATTAACACCAACCAACACCGAGAAACACAAAACACTTGTTTCTTCTTAACTTATGGTTACATGGAAGTCAACACAAATGAATAGTAGATGCGCACTATTGAGGAGTCCCACAGTGGGGCGATGTTGGTTTAGCTTTAATTGACTCATGAACTCAATTACTAAATTTCTATAATATCCACAAGACCCCTTTCTTATAACCTATAAATGACCAGTTTAAGAATTTTCATTCAGCAAAATGATATAATTTCAATGGTTGAGATCATGAGTCAATTGAAGCTAGACCATCATGGAAAACCGAGAAACACTGGACGGCCAACTCGTTCTATTGTGGGACTCCTCAGCAGTGCACATCCACGATTCCGCCTCACGAGATCCGAACCCAGGACCTATCAGTTAAGACAGTGTACTTCAGTCGATAACAAAGATTTCTTTTCGTTTGATGTATATTAATAAATTTCTATCGTAGATTTATGACTTTTAAATTTCTACTTGTTGAGATCCAAACTTGTATCCACCGCTGAGCTGAATGGTCATCACTTCATTTATCATAATACACACCAATATAATCCTGTTCATTGGTCAAAATATATTTCCCTCCCAGTGAAAAATGAAAAAAGAATTCCTTGTGCTGTATTGTCATATGTAGATATTGGTAAGTGATTTCTAACTTAGACAATGTATCTATCCCAAACCTTTCGATTTGTTTGGAGATTTTCCAATGACTTAAAGTTTTTTAGATGTATATGTATGTGGTGGTTTTCACAATTGTTTGATCACTGGGTAGTGATCAATGTCATGTGTGTCAATTCCTTCTTAGTGCAGATCAAATAATATCGACCAAGTTGCAATGTGGCCACCAGTCTAGGTGACTTAACATTGCGTGCACTATGCTGAGATTAGATGCTTTTAGACTAGGTTTTCAATCAGTCAACTTATCCAATATCATTATCACACTTGGTTACCAATTACTATTTATTTATTTATTTTAACACATAGATATTGGTACAAGGAGGCACCAAATACATATGCGCCACACAAATCTCATTTAATATATGTGAGGGCTGTGATAATGACCGGGTGCCAAAACCGAAGCAGCTGGTTTTCTTAGGGGGCCACACCCCGAGCCTTCGACCTGAAGATCTGATCCACAAGGCAGTGGAGCATCGTAAGGAGATGCAGTCCCATGGTAGCCGGTGACCGACGATTGGTTCATACGCCATTTGTTCCTTCAGAATACTGGAACCCATGTGCACCATTGGTTTGGGATCCGGTTAAAGCGCCTGACATTCGCTTTTCGTCCTCTCATTTTCATAAACAACACCCGTGTTGCGAGAAGGCAGTGAGTAGGACTTCCCTGGCAGAGGCTATATACGCGTGGCCATGTGAGAGCATTTCGAGAGGGAGAGCGAACTCTCCCCACTCTCGGCCGTACCAGGGCATTCGGGGGCAAAAAGGAATTACTAAACAATGTTTTGTGCACAACTAGATTAACTGGAATATTATCTAACGTTCATTATTATAAAATGATATGTATTGTATAAATGAATCAACTAACCAGGATACTAGGAGTAACGAAAGAATAAAAGTCTTTTGTAAACAATCCTTCCGTACTTCTCCATGCTCTTGTAATCTTTTTGATAGTTTCGTTACTGTGAAAAAGATGTGTACATTATCAAACAAAATTGCATTATAATCACATAAAATTTTAAAAAAAATTATTCCCTGGAAAGAAGACCTGGTGATAATGTTACACACGACAGTAGTTTTCGAGAATTATCCAAATAGATTTGTATGGTGAACTGTACATGAAATAATATGGTCATCATCTTAACTAATTGTTTGTTTATTTATTTATTTGAACACATAAATATTTGTACAAGGAGGCACCGAATACATATGCACCACACGAGTCATTCTGTGTGGGCTGTGATACTGCCCGGTTGCCAAAACCGAAACAGGTGGTGTTCTTAGGGTGTCACACCCCGAGCCTTCGATCTGAGGGTCTGATCCACAAGGTAGTAGAGCATTGTAAAGAGATGCAGTCCCATAGTAGGCGGTGGCCGATAATTGGTTCATACGCCGTTTGTTTCCTTAGGATTCTGGAGCCCAAGTGCACCATTGGTTTGGAACCAGGGTTTTCCAACCCCATTAGGTGGATCCTCCATATCCACCAACCCACTTGAATAGCCGTACATTCGCTTTTCGTTCCCTCAATTTCGTAAACAACACCCGTCTTGCGAGAAGGTAGTGAGTAGAACTTCCTTGTCAGTAGCTGTATACTCGTGACCGTGTGAAAGCATTTGGAGAAGAACAGTTGACTCTTCCCACTCTCGGCAGTGCCAGAGAATTTGTTTGGGAGCTAATTGTACATAACATATGATGTGTGAAACCTACCTTTAAATATCAGTACAAAGCTTCTACTATTCATAATATCAATACACAAGTAAATCGATCATATGCAAATAAAGAATAACTTTGGGTTTAGAGTTTTGATTATCTTCTTTTTGATATCGAGATACATCTGTTACAGATCTAAGTTATGTGTTCACATGGTTAAGATTAGCCTGTCCGCTATTGATCACTTACATAGTATTCTTCATTCATCTAAATGAAATTATCATTACAATAACATTATGCATATGAATCAGTAGTCTGGTCTTTTATTTCAAACCTAATAGTGAAGTCCAGTCACCTAATCATACTAGAAACAGTGTTGATAAGACATATTGTCTATTGCAATATGTGACTTTTTAAATACTAAACATGCTTTCAGACAATGATAGAGGTAAATTTTAGAAAATGATAGTCAATCAAATCTGTATAAAACTGGTTTATTAACCGTTTTAATAAGTCAAATGTTATTCTTTTATATATGAAATATTCTAATTTATTTAGTACTATGACAAATAGTACATTTCTGTGAATTCAGACTATTTCTGTATTAGGTTTTTGATTGAGGTGATAAACCGATTGATGTTAGATCATCATTGAAAACCTGGAAGCACTGGACGGCCATTTCGTCTTATTGTGGGACTCCTCAGCGCTGCGCATCCATGAACCCGCCCGCGGGACTCGAACACAGGACCTTCGGTCTCGCGTACGAATTTTTAACCTCTTGATCACTGAGCCGACATCCAACGGTGTCAATGTCTAACCTCAACCAGTTCACGAAATTTCGCGACCATCTTCCATTATTCTGAGGTAGATACCTGTATCTACCTGACATGAATTAGCTCCACTGGTCACGATCCCGAGAGAGAAATCGTGGGTGCTCACTGCTAAGGAGTCGCACAATAGGATGAAACAGCCGTCCAGTGCTTTCTAGGTTTTCAATAGTGGTATAACATCAATCGGTTCGTGATCTCAATCAAAAACTTAATAATCTCCACAACCCTATACTGATATTTCTGTATTAAAGATATCATAAGTTTCTATTGGTTGAATATATAGAAACATGAAATCCTCACCTCGGAATATAATTCCCATATTCATCTCTGTACTTTGGTTTACCTTTATCGTCTCTAGGAGTTCGAGGTGTCCCATCTGGATAGCGCATAAAAGGGAAATTGTGTGATGCAAATCCCTAAAATATAATAAATTTTTAAAAAATGTTAACTAATGACTATACAGAATCAGAATGGCATAAATGAGCTTGTATATACCTGTTCATATTTCAAACACACAGCTAAAATAATAAATAAGTGCCCTATTAATGGACAACGTGATGATACCGCCAATTAGAGAGCAGTGAATTATCGATCGAATCAAGGACGCATAAACCATGTGTGAGCAACCTAGAGTCCTGATTGGTCCTGTGTCCTGCCTAACCCAGCCAATTAAATCCAAAACATCAATCCGATCCTCTGAGATATGAATCATTATATTTCAAACATACGGAGTTTCTATACCAACTAAACAGACCACAATGTAACATAAAATAAAAAATTACATTTGTACAAGATTTGGCTAAATGTGACTGTGAATGTGAGAGGTAGCGACTAATAAACAGGGTATAATTCAAGAATGGTAAAACGTATAATAATAGTTCATAGGTCAACATAAAGCTCATGATAAGAGGGACATGAATATGAATAGTTTAGTTGTTTAACAATTATACGATAAAAATATACACATAGTATTGGTTCATAAATGGATCCCAAAAGTTACCATTCATTATGTTTATTAGGACCTAACAGATCTCCTTACTAGATTTTGTATATTTTAACCCCAATACTTTAAAGGGGAATCTTATAAAATCACTTTGAAACCATATGATTTCCATTTACTGGACAAATGAATATTTTCATTGTATTGTAGGATAACTAATCGAATTGTAAATGGATTATTTCTTAATAAGATTCAAAAGAAATACACTTAACATGTAAGCTTTCTTTTACATTACAGTACTTAGGTTATGACTGTGTAAGTAAGTAACTTTTTATAAATGATCTACCGATTTGATTCAAACGAATATTGTAGTGTGTGCTACTAATGTTGACAAATATAAGTAGTATGTATCATTAATTGAAAGTAAAATGCCTAGAGGTAGGAAGTTAAGAAGATCAAAGAAAAGAGAACAAGAACAAAGAATGTTTGGTGTGGAAACGAAAGAATAATGAAGTCTGAGACGATTGATTGATATTTTGCAAATAGATAATTTACTGTATGGTTCTCAGATTTTACTAAGATGCTCTGTAATTATTTTGATGGAGTTTTGTTCTCTGAACTGGATGGTTTGGTTGTGGAGCTTTCATTATCAGCAGACACTTCAGGTAGAGGTGAAGTGTTCGAATTTCTCCACACGTGGTTCACAACTTGTCTTGTAGACCTTAATTGGATCTTGTTGATCTTAAACTTGTTATTGTTCCAGCAATGCGCATCCAAGATCCCGCCCTGCCATTATGTAAAAGTATGTGTGAGTCTGACTAACCGTGTGTCCGCACTTCAATAGTTATCTATCATATCATCGGTTGTAAACAGGCAATCAACAACTTACCCACAGTGAATAACACTCATAAAATAACCCAGGACTTAACGGTCCCGCCTGTGAACGCTCAAAATCTAGACCACTGAGACGGCCGGCATCGAACGATGTTAATGTCTAACTTCAACTAATCCACGAAGTTGTGCCACCATCCACCATTTTCTTCAGTGAGTTACTATCTCACAACAAACCTAGTTGAACTACACTGGACACTACTTCTCACTAGAACTCCAGGAAATACCTCTTGTTCAGTGGCCTCCATCAATTGAAAAATAATAGATGAACTTACAAGTGCATGACCGATTTCATGTAAGAAAACCCCAAGTGAATTTCTATCTTCAGGATAATCAACTTTCATTTTTCCTGGGCACACATTTACAAATCCAAGAATTGGCCTAAAGTATTAAGTAGTATAAATATATGATATAAAACAATGAATGAATTGTTCTCAATTAAAGTAACTAAATAAGTATTAACATTACAATTTTATTTTATATTTTTATATTTATCCAGTTTATCATTAAATGTTTAGTTCAATAGACATTGAAGATAGTTGGTTTAGTGTTAATAGAATTACAAAAATGATCATTAGTTCAAACCTTTCTACTTTAGAGTTGACAATTTACTTACTTACTTACGACTGTTACTCCTCGAGGAGATATATTGGGCGACCACCAACACTCTTTATACAACTCTGTCCTGGGCCCAATTTCTCCAGTTGTTTCCAGTTGTTATTCATTATTTTCATATCTGCTTCTATTTCACAACGTAATATGTGCTTTGGCTACTACCCTTCACGATTCCAAGGGAGGGCTTCACTCGTGATGCAGTTTGATGGTTTCTGTTATGTATATCTTATCCATTTCCAACGTCTTTTCCTAATTTTTTGTTTAGCTGGAAGATAGTTAGTCCTCTCCTACAGTAGGTTGTTACCGATGATATCCGTCCAACGGATGTCTAGTATTTTGTGTAGACAACTATTTATAAATACTTGAACCTTTTTGATTATGGTTGTAGTAGTTCTGAAAGTTTCAGATCCGTACAATAGAACTGTCTTGACGTTCGTGTTGAAGATTGTGAGTTTGATAGTGGTTGACAGACAGTTGTATATTGAGGTGTTTTTCTTTTCAGTACATCAGCACTTGTTCCTCCTCCCAAATGTTCCTGAATAGAACGTGAAGAATGTTTGCAGTTACTTCTATGTTTGACTTCAGTGCTTCAGCTGGTATATTGTCGGGTCGTGCTGCTTTCCCGAGCTTGATTACTCGGATAGCCATCCTGATTTCCTCGATCGTTGGTGGATTGATTTCTATAGGAATGTCTGTGTGTGCTGGTCTGAGATAAATCACTCGTAAACAAAATTTAAGGTTTTAAGAATGAATTGTACTACTTATCGATTTTAATTGAATGAACTTAAAGTGTTGATAACGTTTACAGACTTACTCTTACTGACTAATTCGACTTTCACGTGAGACAGTTTCATGGAAATAATCTAACCTATTTCTTATTGCCCAGATGTTTACTTTATCTTAGTTGCATCAAATTTAAAGTGTAGCTAGTTTTTGTGTATAAATTTGGAACAGCGTAAGGTAAACTGCTTTACTTTATTTATTTGGGTGGTTGTTTAAATCGTCTCATTGACATTTGGGTTTACGGTTATTCAGTCTCTTACTGGTATATGTTTATCGTGTGCGGATTGTTCAGATGCTGCCTTAAGTTATTAAATTGCAGGCTTAAGCTTCCATGGGAAGATTCAAACAACCAATACAAAGATTCATTGTACTTCACCCTATTGCGCCAACGAGTTACTATCTGAACTCGGTAGCTAAGTGAATAGAGTGATGGCGCATAAAGCGAATAGTACTGGGTTTGAGTCCCAGAATGAACATCATCTGAGTGAGGTAGGTACATCCGAATGACGAGTCCTAAATAGGACAAAACAAGCATCCTGGATTTTACTACTAGTCATCATCCATCTCTGCTGTTTTACTACCAAATAAGGAAATACATGTCTATTTTCAACTTGTATTTCAAAACAGATTAATAAAAAACAACTACTGAATGGATAAAATTAGAAGGTAATTCCTTAACTTTCACAATATTATCGTAAACATTTGATTTAAGAGTAGTATAGTTAAAAACAATTGTCTTTGAGCAAATAATGTAGTCAGTTTTTCATCAAAAACAAGAATATGCTCCTATTAACATATATAATTACCTATCTGTTTCTCCATCCATTAAACATGATGATGCATATGCTGCTGTACTACCATAACAGATAGGTGTATTTATAGAATCAACAAATAGGATATAACCGGCAGCTGGTATTCCACTTCCATTTATGTAAGTTCTGTGTAACAGATTATTTTTTACTTCGTAACATTCCTGAAAGATAATCATGATAGAATTATTGAATCGTAATGATTTGAATACAAATAATAAAATATAGACCATTAAGATGGTGGAGAAGATTTGTAACTCAGGTGGATGATTATCATGGAGTTTTGTTCTCTAAGCTGGATGCTTTGTCGTAGAGCTTCGAGTAGAAGTTTGCGCTAATGATATCGTTCAGAAGGACGATGAAAGCTCCACGACCAAATCATCTAGCTCAGAGAACAAAACTTCATCAAAATATACACCATTGTTTTACTAATTAATTCCGCCTGGAGTCCCTCCAGGGGCTACTGCCGGTCCCAAGCCCGAATAAAGGAGGAGGGGTGGGCATGGGGTTAGCGATCCCATCCTGTAGAAAACTAACACTCCAACAAAACGCTGACCAGAAAACATTATTCAAACGACTTAAACTCTGCCCTGGGAGTCAGGAGGTCTTCGTTTAGAAGAATTATGACGCCTCATGATGAAAGCCGAGTTTCTTCGGAAGTCACGAGGCCGATGCCCCTTCTGACAACCATTTATTTAGGTACATGGAATGCTCGCACAATGTGGGAGACTGGGAGAGTTTTCCAAATTGCTGCAGAAATGAGGAGATACAATTTAGAGGTGCTTGGGATCAGTGAAACACATTGGACGCAAGTTGGACAACAACGACCAGCTTCAGGGGAGCTGCTGTTATACTCCGGACATGAAGAAGAAAATGCGCCACATACACAAGGAGTTGCATTGATGCTGTCCAAACAAGCACAAATTGCACTTATAGGATGGGAATCTCATGGACCAAAAATCATCAAAGCCTCCTTCAAAACAAAGAAAGCGAGCATTTCACTGAACGTCATCCAATGCTAAGGGCCTGTCAGTGACTACAATGAAGACGCTAAAGATCAATTCTACGATAAGCTGCAGTCAATCGTCGAGAAGTGCCCTTCAAATGACTTGACCATTCTGATAGGAGATTTAAATGCCAATGTTGGAATGGACAACACCAGATATGAAGAGGTCATGGGACGACACGGACTGGGAGAAAGGAACGAAAATGGTGAGAGATTTGCAAACCTATGTGCCTTTGATAAACTGGTCATAGACGGCACTATATTCCCACATAAACGCATACACAAAACCACATGGACTTCACCGGATCACAGCACACAGAACCAAATCGACCATATCTGCATCAACAAAAAGTTCAGGAGGACGATGGAGGAAGTGAGAACCAGGAGAGGAGCTGATATAGCATCAGATCATTACCTGCTGGTCGTCAAGATGAAATTGAAACTCAAGAAGCACTGAACAACGGGGCGGACAATGTCACAGAAGTTTAATACGTTTCTTCTTCGGAATACTGACAAACTGAACAAATTCAAGATAGCCCTCAGCAATAAGTTCCAGGCCTTTCATGATCTACTCAATGGAGAAGGAACTACTATGGAGAGCAACTGAAAAGGGATAAAAAAGGCAATAATTACAACATGTCATGAAGTCCTGGGCCACAAGAAGCACCATCACAAGGATTGGATCACGGTCGATACACTGGATAAGATTCAAGAAAGGAGGAACAAGAAAGCAGCAATCAATACCAGTCGAACAAGAGCAGAAAAAGTCAAGGCACAGGCTGAATACACAGAAGTAAACAAGCAAGTGAAAAGGAGCATCAGAACTGACAAACGTAAATATGTGGAAGATTTAGCAATGACGGCGGAAAAGGCTGCAAGAGAAGGAAACATGAGACAACTGTATGACATAACAAAGAAACTCTCTGGAAATCACCGTAAACCAGAACGAACAGTGAAAAGCAAGGAAGGTAAGGTAATCACAAACATTGAAGAACAACGAATCAGCTGGGTAGAACACTTCTAAGAACTCTTGAATCGACCAGCCCACTGAACCCGCTCAACTTCGAAACGGCACCCACGGACCTCCCAATTAAAAAAATCAGCATGGCCATCAGACAAATCAAGAGTGGCAAAGCAGCAGGACCAGACAACATTCCAGCAAAGGCACTGAAAGCAGAAGTAACGGTAACTACAAGAATACTCCACATACTCTTCAATAAGATTTGGAATGAGGAACAACTACCAACAGACTGAAAGGAAGGACTCCTGGTCAAAATACCAAAGAAAGGTGATTTCAACAACTGTGACAACTACAGGGGCATCACTCTTCTCTCAATACCAGGAAAAGTCTTCAACAGGGTATTGTTAAATGGATGAAGGACTCTGTAGACGCCCACCTTCGCGACCAACATCCAGGGTTCCGTAAGGATAGATCGTGCACAGACCAAATCACAAACCAAGGATCATTGTGGAACAATCAATTGAACGGAATTCATCACTCTACATCAACTTCTTTGACTACGAAAATGCATTTGATAGCGTGGACAGAACAACCCTATGGAAGCTTCTTTGACACTACGCCGTGCCTCAGAAGATAGTCAATATCATACAGAACTCCTATGATGGATTGAACTGCAAAATCGTTCATAGAGGACATTTGAAAAACTCGTTCAAAGTAAAGGCCAGTGTCAGGCAAGGTTGCTTACTCTCACCCTTTCTCTTTCTCGTGGTGATCGACTGGATCATGAAGACGTCAACATCTGAAGGGAAGCACGGGATACAGTGGGCATCTAGGATACAGTTGGATGATCTAGACTCTGCAGATGATCTGGCTCTTCTATCGCAAACGCAAGAACAAATGCAGGAAAAGACGACCAGTGTGGCAGCAGCCTCAGCAGCAGTAGGTCTCAATATACACAGAGGGAAAAGCAAGATTCTCCGATACAACACAGCATGCACCAATCCAATCACAATTGACGGACAAGATTTGGAAGATGTAAAAACCTTTACATATTTGGGCAATATCATTGATGAACACGGTGGATCTGATGCAGATATGAAGGCGAGGATTGGCAAAGCAAGAGCAGCATATTTACGACTGCAGATCATCTGGAACTCAAAACAACTGTCAACCAACAGCAAAGTCAGAATTTTCAATGCAAATGTCAAGACAATTCTACTGTATGGGGTGGAAACTTGGAGAACTACGAAAACCATCATCCAGAAGATACAAGTGTTTATTAACAATTGTCTACACAAAATACTTAGAATCCGTTGGCCGGACACTATTAGCAACAACCTACTGTAGGAGAGAACAAACCACATTCCAGAGGAGGAAGAAGCACTGGAAATGGATAGGACACACACTGAGGAGAGCACTGAACTACGTAACAAGACAAGTCCTCACATGGGATCATCAAAGTTAAGGGAAAAGAGGAAGACCAAAAAACACATTACGTCGGGAAATGGAGACAGACATGAGAAAAATGAACGAGAATTGGATGGAATTAGAAAAGAAGGCCCTGGACGGAGTGTGTTGGATAATGCTGGTCGGCGGCCTATGCTCCATTAGGAGTAACAGGCGTAAGTAAGTAAGTTTTACTAATTGGAATCCAGTTCAAGTAATGTCATATTAACGTATATAGAGCATGAATAACTCCTGAAGATGATTAGTTGTTTTTTATCCGATACTCTTTGAATAAATGTACATAACCTTAAAGAATGATGAAATAACTTAAACAGTGTTTTTCTGAAATTAAACGGATTGTGACTTATATCTAATTCCTGTTCAGGCTATCATATCTGTTGTATGACAAAAGTCACACACCGAATTTTGAGGAATGGTATTCTTAATTGTGATGATATTCATATATAAATATATTTCTTTTCTAAAGAGACTAACAGTGTTTCTAAAATTATTCCGGTTCAGTGATCTAGAGGATAAGCGTTCGTGTGCGATACCAGAGGTCCTGGGTTTGAATCCCACGAGCGGGATCGTAGATATGCACTGTTGAGTATTCCGTACTTCACAACTCCAATCACATATAAGAAATTAATTAAAAATCTAATACACCTCTCATTGTTGCATTTAGAACATCTATTATGTGTATAACAGTAGAAATATTACTCCTTTACTCATACTCACCCGTATATACTCATCTGGAATTTTCACTCCTCCGCACATAACAACACTTTTACAACTCGACTGATAACAAAATATGGATTTATTTTCAGAAAGTGTGTAGTATTGATCGCTTTCACAATACCTTGATGAAAGAAATAAGAATGTTGTTCAGTTAAGAATAAAAGAAATCCATCTATTAAGTTTTAATCTAGAATAGTGAATTATTTAAGTTGACTAACCAAGATACTTTGATACTTTGTGTGGAAAATTAAAACAATCTCTACACCTAACTTGTAAAAAAACGTAGTTAGACAAGACCACTAATGATGGAGTTTTGTTCTCTGAGCTGGATGGTTTAGTCGTGGAGCTTTCATCATCAGCCGATGATGTCGTTCAGAAGAACGATGAAAGCTCCACGACTAAACCATCCAGCTCAGAGAACAAAACTCCATCAAAATCATCCACCTGAGCTACAAATCTTCTCCACCATCTCAAGACCACTAATGATTACACATTAAAACAGAAAACAAGTAAGCTAACAGTAAAATCACCTATTTGCTAATTGTTTTCCATCTCCAGGTTTCTTGACTGTCAATGTTTCTTCCCAATACTCTATTGCTTTTAGTGCAAGTTTCTGTAAACATGTAAAATAATACAAATAAAGTATTACATTATGAATTTTAATAATTGAGATCATGAGTCAATTGAAGCTAAACCACCATAGAAAATCTGGAAGCACTGGACGGCCGTTTCGCCCTATCGTACGACTCTTCAACAGTGCGTATCTAAGATCCCGCTTCAAGAGATTTCAACCTAGGACCCATCGGTCTCGCGTGTGAACACTTAACCTCTAGACCACTGAGCCGGCCGGCATCCAACCGTGTCAATGTTTAACTTCAACTAATTCACGAAATTGAGTGACACATCCACCATTGTCATCAGTGAGTGACTACCTCACTACACACCTGGTTGAACTCCACTGATCACTGCTTTTCACTAGAACTCCACGTAATATCTCATGAAGCCAGTCACTAGTGAGCATTTGTTGATTAATATCAGATGAGTTTTGTGGATATTATAGTGATTTCAATAGTTCATATCATGAGTCAATTGAAGCTAGACCATGATGGAAAATCTGGAAGTACTGAACAGCTGTTTCGTCCCACTGTGGGATTCCTCAGCAATGCGCATCCACGATCATCATCATCATCATCCAAATCATCATCATTAGTATTATTCATGAGTATATATACACATATGGCTATTCAATTAATCAAAACTCAAAACTATTACAACTAAATCATTCATAGAAACAATGAAACATATTACTATACTGAGAAAAATGTTTATCATAAATCATGTGAATTACTAAGAGTGCAGCATAATCCTCCAATCTGCGGAAATTGAAAGTAAAATAGGGATAAAACTTTAAACTTTTTGGCTGTGTATTCCGTCTCTCGACACCATCAGATTGTACAGCTACTGTATGATCCTAGAATTTCAATCAAATTCTCTAATAATATTAATCTACCAATTTCACTGAAGGAGGAGAACCACAGAATGATCTAGAATTGACCATATAGCATATTGTCAAAATGAAAAGCCATTTAATGAATAAATGAATAAGCATATCTGTTAAGTATAATGGTAACTAACGTATGTCACATGTATATATATATATATATATATATATATTGTTTTCTGAAATTCACAGACCAATCTAACGTCTCAGACCTATGTCTTGTTTATTTTTCATTATGGTTTTGACAGTTTCGAAGGAGATTGAAACCATTCTATAAAGAAAAGAAAAAAAAGAAAAGAAAAAGAGAGAAAAAACAACAATGTAAGTGTCCTTACATCCTAAATTCAAAGATTCTGGACTATTCATTTGATTGTTGATTCGCTTAACTTGCAAACAGAAAAATTTTTTATGGAGATTAACTTTGTATCAAAACAAAATCTTCCTTCATTGTAAAACATTTGATTGAGACTAGTCATAAGGTTGACATTCAGTCATCATTTATAGTGTTTCACTAAAGCCTTTAAGGGCGTATACTAAAGTTTATTGATGCATTAGCTATACAGAAACTGAAACCTCCTTTATATATTCACAAACAATTTGGTCATACCCTTAACCTACCTTAGTAATACTGATTTATTATCCAGAGTAGTAATAACATTGTTTTTGTGTAAATTATTATTATTTCTTACCTTTAACCTGTCTAATTGACCTTTTAGTTTTCATATAAAAATGTATTATCGAAATTTCAATAGTTGAAATCATGAGTCAATTGAAGCTAGACCATGATGGAAAACCTGAAAGCACTGGACGGCCGTTTTGTACTAGTATGGGACTCCTCAGCAGTACGCATCCACGATCCCTCCCCCAGAGGGGTTCGAACCCAGGACCTATCATTATCGCGCACGAGCGCTTAACCAACCAGACCACTGAGCGAGCGGGATCGTGGATGCGCACTGCTGAGGAGTCCCATACTAGGATGAAACAGCCGTCCAGTGCTTCCAGGTTTTTATGGTAGTCTAGCTTCAATTGACTCATGATTTCAACTATTGAAATTACTCAAAATCTCCACAAAACCCCTTCTGATAATTATCGAAATTTATCAAAGGGTCTGCAACCAGGTCAGTTGTGAGATAGTAACTCACTGAAGACAATAGTGGATGTGTCGCTTAACTTCGCGGATTTGTTAAAGTTAGATATTAACGCTGCTGAATGCGGGCTCAGTGGTCTAAAGTTTAGGATGAATCGGTTTTCAAGGTTTACATGGTTCATGAAATCAACTATTAAATTATATTTTCTTAATGATTAGAACTACTGTTCCAAATAGATAGCTAACAAAGATTTACATTATCATGAATAATAGTTGACTGTTGAATAGCTCAATACACTAAATAGTCATTTTACATGCCAAAACAACTGTCAATACAAATATCAAGACAGCTCTACTGTATGGGGTGGAAAATTGGAGAACCACGAAAACCATCATCCAGAACATACAAGTGTTTATTAACAATTGTCTACACAAAATTCTTCGGATCCGCTGGCCGGACACTATTAGCAACAACCTACTGTGGGAGAGAACAAACCAGAGTGGTGGAAGAAACGAGGAAGAACTGCTGGAAGTGAATAGGACATATATTATGGAAAGCACCTAACTGCGTCACCAGGTAAGCCCTCACTTGGAATCTTCAGTGTCAAAAAAGGCTAGAAATACCAAAGAACACATTACACCGATAAATGGAGACAGATATGAAAAGAATGAACAACAATTAGATAGAACTACAAAGGAAGGTCCATGACAGATTGTGTTGGAGAAAGCTGATCGGTGGCCCATCCTTCGTTGGGAGTAACAGACATAAGTAATTAAATGAGATAGTCAGTGACGAAATTACCGTCCATGAATATTGAACTCGATTGATAATCTGATTGCTTTATGTCCTGACGATTATTCAACATAACTTTGAGCAACTGATTTCGTGTACATAATACACGAATATCAGAAGATACAATGACTGATTGGTGAATACTGAACACAGAATATACATAACACAACAAAAACACGAATGATTGTTTGATCTGCCTAAATCACTTTTAAAAACAAGTGATTCAAGACCTTACAATCTGACTGATATACTACCATTCATATCTATTTCATGATACTTCAGGTTTGATTCAATGAAATGTTGACATTTCAAAGGAGAAATGGTCTTCGAATCGCCATTGTCAAACTTTAAGGATGAATCTTTTATTATCGAGTGGTTGTTTTTAATCAAGATCTGTTAAATCCTGCCAATTGATTTACTTTTCCAATCATTTAAGGAAGTGTATAGCAACTCTTATTTGAATTTTAATACTGCTCCTAATCATATGTGTGTCTACGCTGCTGAACAGTGGTTCCATCGGTTCTAGTTTCTATTGAAATAGAAGAGATTTTTTCTCAGTTTTCAATAACATTTGGTGTAGTGATAAGTTTTACTTACTTACTTACTTACTTACTTACTTACTGACTGACTGACTGACGTCTGTTACTCCTCGTTGAGAAGCATAGGCCACTCATCAGCATTCTCGATCCAACCTTGTGCCAAGCAATCCTTTCCACTTCTTTCCAGTTGCTATTCATAATTTTCATATCTACTTCAATTTTTCGACGTAATGTGTTTTTTGGTTTTCCTCTTTTTCACTTCCGTTCACGATTCGAAATGAGGGCTTGCCTCGCGATGCATTTTGATGGTTTCTGTTATGTATATTCTATACACTTCCAACGTCTTTTCCTAATTTTCTGTTTAGCTGAAAGTTGGTTTGTTCTCTCCCGCAGAACGCTGTTGCTTATGGTATCCGGCCAACGGATGCTGAGTATCTTTCATAGATAACTATTTATAAATACTTAAACCTTCTTGATTATGGTTGTAGTAGTTCTCCAAGTTTCAGATCCATACAATAAAACTATCTTGGCGTTCGTGTTAAAGATTGTGACTTCGATAGTGGTTGTGTTAAGTTCGTTACTCTTGACTGCTACAACTGATTCGTCTTATTCAGAACAGAACGAAGAATCAAGGATTCAGAGACTCGATAGGCTTTTCTGGTCCGATGTCCTCGACTCAGCTAACTCGATCAAGAAGTCTTGGTAAGACGTAGAAATTGTATTCTACAGGCAACCAGAAGATACCACGTCAATCAAGCACAGAAATCAAGCGTATTTATACAAAAATATGTAATCGATATTTCCATAGAAGATTTTTAAACATTTAATCGATAAATTCGTCAATCGACTGCTATTGAAATATTTGAACATTTAATCGATAAATTCGTCAATCGACTATGTGCGTGGGTGGTAAGAAATGCCAATGCATACATCGGTATATAAGTTCCACAAAGATAAAATTAGAAGATATGAGTTTCGGGGATCTCATGTCCCCAAGTTTCAAATCCGTATAATAGAGCTGTCTTAACGTTCGTATTGAAGATTGTGACTTTGATGGTGGTTGACAGACTGTTGGGGACGGTAGATCCCCAGAACTCATAGTTTGTAATTTTATCTTGTGGAGCTTGTATGCAGATGTATACGTGGGCATTTCTTACCACCCACGCATATAGTCGATTGACGAATTTATCGATTAAATGTTTAAATAATTCAATGGCAGTCAATTGACGAACTATCGATTAGATGTTTAAAAGCTCCATGGCAATATCGATGTATAGATATTTGCATATATACGTTTAAAATTGTCTTGTACAAAAGTTTGCTGGTTTTCTGGTTGTTACAGAATATACTTTCATTCTAAGCTTGGTTTTCTCACTCTAGATAGCGGGGTTGGGACGCGTTAATAGATAGCTTACTGGACCTTGGTCACCGAATCCTCGATCTCGTTCTCAAACTACGTGAACCCGTGATAGCTCTCTCTCGCTCTTTCAAAACCTAACACAGACAGTTGTTTTGAGTTCCATATATTCATTAATTGTAGGAATGCGGCCATTACTTTACCATGTGATAATTCTTAAATCATGTTGTTCAAGACACTTAGTTCGATCGTAATTGGTAATTCATTAGTTCAGACCCATTCTTTAATATAAATTTTTGAGTATATTAGATGTCTATCAATTTATCAAAAATTCTTACTTTTTAATATACCGTCAAGTAGAAATGGAGCTGCAATGATGAACTACTTAATGTGTTGAGGATGTTAGGCCCCCAGTACTCACTTGGTAAGTTATATATATTCTTCAGTTGTAGGAATGCTGTCCTTGATTCACCACTGCTCGTCTTTCAGTATGTGCATCGGATTCTTCCTGTTCATTGACGATGCTAACCAAATAAGTGAAACTTTCCACATCTTCCTGAGCTTCTCCATCAAGTGTAACTGGGATGGTGTTCTCCGTGTTGTATTTGATCAGTCATAATAACGGGCAATTTAATAATTTGTTCGACTGATTACATAAACGGTGATATATTTCACTGATAAATTAATCTACACAAGTATAACATGTGATTTACCAACCATCAGTCAATTTCATTTGAGTAACTAAGGTTCAATCATGGTAAACACGATCGAAATAGAAATCTGTATTGATTTCCATTAATTGGTTTCTTTTCATTTAAACCATGACTCGTTTCTTTATGATGAAAAGTTGTCAAGTTCATTTCATAAACATCGAAAGTGTTTTAAAGAAGGGCTTGTCTGATTTTCTGTAAAAATAAAAGATTATTTATTTACATTTTGTTAGTAAACGGTACATAAACACATTCTAAGCAAAGAGATATGGTGGCTAGTAGTAGAAACCAGAACGCACGTTTCGTCCTATTTCGAGGACTCATCAGCTGCATGTATATGCATCTCGGAGTTGATGTTCACTATGGGACTTGGACATAGTACCGTTCGCTACAAACACCATCGCGTTACCCACTCAGCTACACAGTCCTAATAGCCACTAGCTCGTGCAATGGACCGAAATTTAAATTCACATGAATCTTCCCCGTTAATGTTTGGCACTGCAATTGATCAGTATCTTATTGCCGTATGTGTATCCTGTGCATATTGCATCGATATTGACTTATGCCACAA